ACGGATATTCGTCATCGATGGGTTCCGATGATTCATCGGACACGAAGTGAACTCGATGGGATGGTCCGGGCTGGTTTCGATCAAAGTTACGGAAACGGTTATTATTAAATTCCCTTTTTCGACATTGCTCCAGGGTGTGTCCTGCGTTTTTACAATATCTGCAGAACGGACGGGAAGAATTGTTGTTGGAATTGGAATAATTGTTGGAATTGGAATTGTTGTTGGAATTGGAATTGTTGTTGGAATTGGAATAGGTTGCTGCACGGATACAGAGGATTTAGTACATTTTTGGGTGTCGATTTCACAATTGTGAGGTCCCGCACGACACCGGGACGAGACGGTTACTCGTTTTTTGAGTGATTGTCGACGGTATCATACCCGTCGGTTGATTCGGCCGGATATTCGTCATCGATGGGTTCCGATGATTCATCGGACACGAAGTGAACTCGATGGGATGGTCCGGGCTGGTTTCGATCAAAGTTGCGGAAACGGTTATTATTAAATTCCCTTTTGCGACATTGCTCCAGGGTGTGTCCTGCGTTTTTACAATATCTGCAGAACGGACGGGAAGAATTGTTGTTGGAATTGGAATAATTGTTGGAATTGGAATTGTTGTTGGAATTGGAATTGTTGTTGGGATTGGAATTGTTGTTGGAATTAGAATTGTTGTTAGGCCGGCTAGGGCCGAAATTTGATCTTTGATTCGATTGGTTAGAAAAGCTTTGGTTGCGGTTACGGTTAAATTGATTTGGATTTGGCCTGGATAGCGCCTGTTGGATTCTTTCTTCGGATATAGCAATGTTGATCGCTTCGTTTAGGGATCGAGGCGATTTGCACCTAACGAATGTGGACAACCGTTGTTGGAATTAGAATTGTTGTTAGGCCGGCTAGGGCCGAAATTTGATCTTTGATTCGATTGGTTAGAAAAGCTTTGGTTGCGGTTACGGTTAAATTGATTTGGATTTGGCCTGGATAGCGCCTGTTGGATTCTTTCTTCGGATATAGCAATGTTGATCGCTTCGTTTAGGGATCGAGGCGATTTGCACCTAACGAATGTGGACAACCGGGGCAATAGGCCCATTTGAAAATGGTGGAGGGCAAGTTCCTCCATTGCCGCGGTTCTCCCGATCATCTCTCGGCTTTTGTGTCCGTGTGAGATCGAAATTTCTGTTAATAATTGGGACAAACAGGTCTCAATTTTTAGAGCATA